AGACTGCACCTTTTTGGTAATTTTCTGCAAGAAAGCCCGGATAATCAAGGCCCGCCATTAGATCTTCTTGTTTCACGGCTTTCGGGCCGCAGCCCATTTTATTACAGCCGCTCCCCTCGGACGATGAGGTACAGCTCGGTTCATTGTTCCCCCCGAAGACAAGCAAATTGCTGGTGTTGAAATTGGTACAATCTTGAATTTGCTGGAAAAATGTGGTGGGCTGTGCAAATTCACCATTGTTGGGGGGCATGAAAGTTAGGTTTTGGGGGTTCGAGTGAAAATAGAATGGGGTGTGAATGTGATGATAATTGTGATTTTGTTCCTGCAAGCTGGATAGAGGAGGGTGATGAGGAGGAAGTTGGGGCTGAAATGCAATTTGGGGTGAGAATGGGGGGCGTGGGATAAATTTGGAAATAGGATTATTATTGTTTATGCCCATGATGAGTTTCTTCTTGAGCTTTGTGTTCCAGTAGTTCTTGATATCATTGTCAGTTCTCCCCGGTAATTGAGCTGCTATGATTGACCACCTGCATTTCATTTCATTGGTAAAAACTATGTCACAAAAAATATCTTTTACATAATAATAATGAAAAGAAAATTTTACGGTCTCGTTACCGAACCATTCCGCTGGATTTGTAACCGTTAGGTCATCATGTAACCGTCGAAAATAGTTGATCTAACGGATACAAATTCCGACGGAACGATTTCCGGAACGGGACTGTAGAATATCCATGGACATGCATGCATAAAATGTTGCAAGAAATAGTTGACTTATTTTCATATCTAACTCTCAACTTTTCTTTTCTTTTTTTTTTCATGTAAGTCCCCCTCATTTTCTGTTCTAATTTTTTTTTTTTTTTTGTTCTGTTTGCCTTTCCTTTTTGAGTGAAAAATTTTGTGCTTTCTATTTATATATGTTGTGTAATAGATTGTAACATAAGATTTTTTCTATATAAGTAACATACATCATGTGCATGTGTTTACATATATATATGTGTTACATATATATAATACCTGCTTCCAATGCTTGCATAGAGAGTGCATATTATTCTATCTTCTTCATCTGAAAACTCTCCATGCTTTATATTAGGTCTCAGATAATTAAGCCACCTCAGTCTGCAGCTCTTTCCACATCTCTTCAGCCCTTGTGCATGCATTTTCAGACCAATATTTGAGTTATTGACAAAACTACTTTAGTTGAAATAATATTTTTGTTAATTTTGGTTACCGGCTTTTTGAGGCAAAGCAATCCAATTCCCACCGGTGCCGAATTTGTCGATGAATTGTTTAAGCTTTGCATCTTCTTCAGGTGACCATGGACCTTTCTTGACATTAGCCTTGTCACAGCAAGGAGCTCTTCCCATTTTTTTTCTATCTTTTTTTGTGTTTATTCTTTGTGCATTTGTCTTTGATATATTGCAGCTGTTTGAGAGAGAGAGAGAGAGAGAGAGAGAGAGAGAGAGAGAGAGAGAGAGAGAGAGAGAGAGAGAGGAAAATTGAAATTGGTTGGCTAAGTTCTTTATCTCTCTCTAATAATTTGACTTTTCACATGTGTTGGGGGGCTGCTGTGTGTGTATGGGGACTTTTTATTGAGGGAGTTTGGTTAATGAAGAAAGAGTTAATTACAGTCATTAGTATAATAATCATAATGAAGATACTGTACTCAAGTGGAAGGGGGCAATGGCTAACTCCATGTATGCATAGGCCCTACATATTATTTTAAGTTGTTGGATGATCTAAGGAGTTGGATGGTACAAGTTTCCACCACACACCCCATCCAAGTAAATTGAGTTTGTTCGTTTAGTTAAAACTAGTAAAGTGCACATGCGTTGCATGTGGTGTCGAATGATTTTCGCGGAGTAAGTTTGTAAAATAAATTAAGTTATTTATTAAACGTATCATTGCATAAATGAAGTAAAATATAGAAAAAATGAACTCATATGTGATTTTTTTTATTTAGAATTAACATAATGATGTTCTCATATAAAAATAGTGAAATAACGTTTTACAAACCCCAACAAAAATATATATAAAAAAACAAATTCCTAATAAAAAAAAAACACAAAGATTTTCTTTCATTTTAGTTTTAACGTTGTCATAAGAACATTCATAGTCGTTGGAGTCCAATACATCAATACTATTGCAAAATTCCTCTTAATTAATTTGGCAAAACGCCTATTTTATTCAAACACTTAAGAAACATTCTGACACAACATATAGTCAAACTTCATGATCGTATGATCTTTATAACAAGGTACTTCTAGTAACAAAGGATAAATATCTCTATGAAATAACTAACGGTGTCACTAAAATTGCTGATATTTTTTATCACTGTATAAACTACTACATTCCTCTATCTCTAGATATATTGGTGTCTACCCCATTGATGCATCGCCCCACGAGGTGGGAATGAATTTTATCTCCAAATAAAAGTTGACTTTCCAAAATCTTGGTTACATGTACTTCTCCCGAGGTGCTAAATTATTTTTTGAAATCATCATACATTACCTGAAAGTACCTCTAAAGTAATTGCACATATGTTCAAGCACAATACACCAATGGGATTATAATTATTTTTATAAAAAGTGACAACTTAATTCTAACATTCAAAACTGTTTTGATACTCCTACATTTCATTTTCAGTGTTATTTATCTAGAATATAGACGAACAATATAATCTATTTTTGGCAATGATAAAACAAAACAATGAGAAAATATTGAGAAGCATATCATTTGTTAAAATATTTGACAACAGAAGAATTAGAATTCCATTATATGACGATACTTTTAGTCATTTGTAAAGTTTATTATTATGAAATCATGATTAAAATATACATCATGTATACAAATTTTTAGATTTTTTAATTATTTAAAATTGAAAATAAATAACATATGATCATTATTTATGAGAACCAATTTCTTACAGAGTCCATATATTTAAACGCTAGCAACAAAAAAAATAGTAATTTTAAAAGAATTTTTGTTTGTAAATATTGGTATTCATACTTTTCTAAGAAAATTAGCATGTTTTCTTTTTCTCATTGCATTACTATTATATTATTTGTTTTTTATTCTATAGACAAACAATATTATATTTGCTAAGTAACTAAAGCACATTTATACGTATTATGTTATTTTTTGTATGTGTTTTATATAATGATGGTATCAAATTATCTTATTTATTATTAGGCTACAATTAATATAATCACATAAGATTAAATGTAATTTAATATATTTGATAAAATTGTACTTTTTTTTTTACGAATTATTAGATTAAAAAGTTTTAGAATTTTTTCTAATGTTTGATAAAATATTAATTAACTAAGTCATTTTTCATAATCACTAAATACATATATGGTACCACCATTATAAGGTTCATTTTGCAGCAGTAATTGACTTCACATAGCTAATGTTATTTCATTTCCTTTCTCTGGCCAGTCTTTCCTTTTATCTATGACTTCACATTGCTTCACTTCGTTTGTACACTAAGGTGCATTTGCCATAGTTTCAGCATTACGACAAACTCGTGTCAAACATATATCGGATTTGGACGCTCTAGCCAAAACGTGGGAACAGATAGAAGTTTACACCCATTTTTTTACTTTTTTTTATATGAATTGTTTCAAATTCATGTATGGAAAATATACCACAAGTTTATCTTATGTTATTTTATATTTAATAAAATTGATTTAACTTGAATATAAAATTTATTATATTATAAACTTTAAGACTAATTTATTATTTTAAATTAGTACTGATATATATATATATATATGTTATTTTATATCCATATAAATAATTATATTATTTATTTTATTGCTATATATGGGTGAACTCAAGCATCTTTGAAAATAAATGATGTGATATATTACATATAAAAAGGTAACAAATAAAAAATATGAAGTATTTGAAAATTAAAATATTTAATGATAGAAAGTAATAAAAATCTTAACTAAAAAATTTAAGATTAACATACCCACTTTTAAAGAAATATACATATGAAAATATAGATATATATATATATATATTATGTACTCAAAAGTTCTAGTTAAAATATATGTGTATCTTAAGTATGTTTTATATTTATCATTAGCCAGCTCCAATTGATATTGTACATTCAGTAATTTTATCAGTATTTTTACTTTTGGATTTAATGAGAGTTATAAGTTTTGTCATCTTTCTTACCCCTTATTTAGTTATTACAATACTAATGAAATAATTAAGGACCTTTCAAAGTATCTTGTTTGCTTTGAAAAAAATTAATTCTTATCATAAATTGAACGCCAATTACATTGAATGTGTTATATTTTCTATCGTATCAAAAATTTTCATAATAATAGTTGCACAAAATATTATATATAATGCATTTTTTGTATAGATTTGGAGTCTTAATTTTACTACAAGAAAATAAAAAAAATTCCAACAAAAATTACAACAAATATAACGATTTTCTTATGTTGATTTTAGAAAAATCTTGACTTTTGGTTTCTTAAATATATTTTACCTTATTGTGATTGCATAGATTTATTAAAATGTATTACAAATGAGAAAGGTGATAGATTATGTAAAGTATAATTTATAAATTGCAATGACATGTTATTTTGATGGTATATTTTTTCTATTAACTAAATAATGCTCCCAATATGAAATTATTTTGAATCTATCACTGCAATTATCTTTCCAATGGAGCTTCTATTGAATTTTTGCATACCAATGAAAAATTTTTCAACGATTGAAATATGGTCCAAAAAATAAATTCCAATAGAAATTCAGGTAATTGAAATCTTTACATCTACTAAAGTTCATATAATTTAATTTGAACTCTATTGGAGTAGCCAATGAAAGCAACATATTCGTTGAAATTTTAGTAGAATACCTTACCGTTGAATTTTTCATTGCAGTATAGCAAAATTTTTGTAGTCCTCTCAAATATTATTTTCTAAGTAGTATTTATTGAGTAATTGTGTTTACAATTTTTCTATTAAAAATATATTAAACACATGAACTTTTTAGTTCCTATAATTTTTTATTTCAGAAATCACTCATTATTTTATCTCAAGATTACCTATTAATTTACCAATTGAGTTACATTTTTTACATATTAAATATTATATAATTAAAATATTTCTTGTTTTATCTGTTCAATATCATACTTATATATTATATTAAAAAACTACTATAGTAAATAAAAAAGTTATTTAAAATTAGAATAATAAAGATTTTTTTTTCTAATCTACATGTATAAATGTACAAATAACTATTGTCTATCACCTCAAATTTACACATTAAGAATAAAAAACTAACAAGCGTTTAACAATTCAGTTCGATTACATCGATAAGTTATTTTTAGAAGGTATATATATAGGTATATTAATTATATTATTTTTGTTTATTAGTTTGTTTTATATTTATTAGTACGTGTCACAACTTAGTTATTATTCATATTATTTCTTATATTTAATATTTTATTAAAACTTTATCTTGTTCTTTCACATGTTCTTAACTGTAGATTTGTCAAAAAAAATATAATATAAAGAATAGAATTTTTCGATCATCTGCCTCATTATATATCAAATATTTGTATATTCTGTATTATATTATATTTAATTACAATTTTTTATTAATTTTTAATTAAATATTTACAATTCATAAATTCATTAATAATATTGTCGAGTCAACTTTTGTTCATAAAATTTTTAAAAATATATTATTTTCATTGATTTGCTTATGTTGAATTGAGAAAAGTTATGTTTTTTAATTACATATAGGGAAGATATAAGATTTCTTATATTTTTTATGTAGTATTTATTGAGTAATTGTGTTTACAATTTTTCTATTAAAAATATTTTTAAAACGTGAACTTTTTAGTTCCTATAATTTATTTTTTTTTTTCAGAAATTACTCATTATTTTATCCCAAGATTACCTATTAATTTACCAATTGAGTTATATTTCTTACATATTAAATATTATATAATCAAAATATTTCTTGTTTTATCTGTTCAATATGATACTTATATATTATATTAAGAAAACTATTATAATAAATAAAAAAAGTTATTTAAAATTAGAATAATAAGATTTTTTTTCTAATCTACATGTATAAATGTACAAATAACTATTGTCTATCACCTTAAATTTACACATAAAATTAATAAGAACATAAAACTAACAAGCGTTTAACAATTCAGTTCGATTACATCGATAAGTTATTTTTAGAAGGTTTATATTTAGTTATATTAATTATATTATTTTTGTTTATTAGTTTGATTTATATTTATTAGTACGTGTCACAACTTAGTTATTATTCATATTATTTCTTGTATTTAATATTTTTTAAAAACTTTATCTTGTTCTTTCACATGTTCTTAACTGTATATTTGTCAAAAAAGACATAATATAAAGAATAAAATTTTTTCGATCATCTCCTCATCATATATCCAATATCTGTATATCCTATATTATATTATATTTAATTACAATTTTGTATTAATATTTTAATTAAATATTTACAATTTATAAATTCATTAATAATACTGTGGAGTGAACTTTTGTTCATAAAATTTTTAAAAACATATTATTTTCATTGATAAAGATTTTTTAAAAACAATTGAGAAAAGTTATGTTTTTTTAATTACATATAGGGAGGATATAATATTTCTTATATTTTTTGTGTAGTATTTATTGATTGATTG